TAAAGAGTGTGAGTCACACACACACACACACACACACACACACACACACACACACACACACACACACACACACTCCCAGCTGTGAGACAGCACAGTACAGATCACAAAGCCCCTGAACTCAGACATCAAAACATCTGCTAACATGAAAATGTCTCCTACACCGAGCCACTTAAGGCAAAGAGTAGGTAAGGTTTAAAAGCAAAGCATAGAAAAGCAATGTATGTTTATAACACTATTTTAGTGTTCATTTTTGGTTTATTTCACGAGTTCTGAACTCAAGTAATAAAAGGGTACAACATAAAAATTAGCCGAAAAAAAAATAATAATAATAAAGGCCGCGTAAATGTTCATATTTTACACAATGACGTTTGGTTTATTTACCCCTTGTACGCCCTCTGCTGGAGTGCATGGATACGACACACACTTGCACATTCTTATTTTATGAAATGTTTTCCTTTAAACATGAGCAACAGTAATTCTGAGAAAGAGTAAGTTCAATGATTGTAAACCAAAGCTAAGATCCAACCAGATTTGAATGTGCTGAATTTATTATAAATAAGCGATTGTCGTCAAGATTAGCGAAAGACGCTAAATACCCTTTTGAGAACTCTTAAAAATCAAAACGTATATTATTAAGATCTGTTTCATCAGTGATTTAACTTTCGATTCACTTTCCTTCTTACAGTTGACACATGAGAAGGCAATGAAACAATGTGAAACTAAATAAATTGTTGATTTATTTGGTTGTAATTTTAGCAGAAGCAATTCAGAGTACAAACAAAAAAATAGGCTTTAAAGATGGCATTATTTTATAGATTTCCAAAAAATGATAAACATGATCATGCAATATCATTAATTTTTATTTTTAATTTTAATTTTAATTTTTATTTTTTTACCTTTTACACAACTTCACATTTATTTAAAATCACAAGTGGTGGCTACATCAACACAAATAAAGATAAAAAAAAAATTAAGCCTCTTTTTAAATGAAGCTTGATAGTTTCATCTCAGCTTCCTGTCCATTCAGATCAGTACTATATGTACTACTGTTCTATAATATTAGCAAAATAATAATTGATTGATTTAACTTGATGTTGCTTTTGTTTTATGTCTTGTCATTTTTATTTTCTCTTTCTTTTTCAGTTGTAGTTTAGCTACAGTTTATGAGACTCCACCTAAAATTCATGCAGAAAGTTTCTGAAACGTCACACTATTCTGGGCCTATATACAATATGCAGAAATATGTTCCTTTATTTATAACTCTAGTTGCTATTCTGAAAAAATGCTATAAAATAACAAACATTTGAAAGCACTTGCATGATGATTTTTGCATGAATGTTTATGACTAATATAACAAATCTGCAACTACAATGGAAGTCTATGGACAAGTTAAATAAACATGCTCAGCTCCTCCCAATCTCAACATGCTAAACGGTGAGATTTTAAACCAGAATATATTGCATGAGCAGTAAAAACAGTAATTTTACATTTCATTCTCATTTACATTTAGTGTGAGTATAAGCATAATACCACAGATATATATATATAAAAAAAAGTATAGTATAATACATAAATTAACTATTAAGTTCATCCTTTGGCTGGGATCCCAATTATCTTCTGTCCTTCAGTCCTCAGGTCTGTAACAGACAGTATGATGTCTGTGAGTGTCCTGTTTTAAACCATTACATTATTGTAAAGATAGTTTTCTAATATAACACATACATACACACACACACTTTATCAGGGTTTTAGTGTAGACAAACGTAATTTCTTCATGCTTGTCAAAATAGCTCAATTACCATCTGGAAAAGGCTGGTCCGTATTCTGATGGCAGCCCATACTGAACTGAACTGAAGACTGTTGGTGTTGCAGCAGAGTTTGGTTGAGTCACAAACACAATATTGTTGACAGTCACACCAGGCAGAGGACTGTTCATGTGATAAACCAGCTGTGATATATAAATGTGATTAATTTGTTATATGGGTTTTTTCACTGAAATAAGCTGTGTTGTATGTCATACAGGTTTGGAAGGATATGTGGTTGAGTAAATGATGACAGAATTGTAATTTTTGTGTCAGCTATCCTATGAAGTAAGAATCTTTAAACCACGTCTTGAGTTTTACCTTTGGCCTGCAGCAGGAAGTTGAGGCAACAATAATGGAGAAGACGACGATCAGAGCATCACAGACCATCAATACAATGTGAGTCGCACCCTGAGTGAATATTAGAGGCAGGAGGATTATGAACTAAAACACATTTTTGCATTAGCTAGAATTATTTGCCTTGAGGAAATTGTACTAAATTTCAACTAGGTTGATATAAACAGCATAAAGGAGAGATTAGTATTAAGTATAACTAAATAATTGGTAACTGATGCATTTAATACCAACCAACATAAATGCAAGTGCTCTTCTGGAGTAAGTGATTTTTGCAGATCTCATGTATTTCAAGCAGGAAGTCTATATACTTACATCATTTGCAAACCCATGAAATGGGATGGAGAACATAGATGCTATGGCACTGAGGTAGTTTAGAGATTGTGAGACTCTGATCTGAAATGAGAAAGGCTTTTTAGGTAAATCAAAAATGTATAAAATATAATTTATTGTATTCTGATATTATTCTCATTCAAATAAAATGAAATGTAAAATACTTAAAAGATTCAGACAAACCCATCGTATGGTACGTTTGTGTGCAGCTAACACCGTCAAAGATCCAATTAAAACTGACTGCAGTGAAGAAAATATATTGTTTAAACATTTGCTCAATGCACAATATTGCTCTGATACTGAAATAAAAGACTTGCAATGATAGAAGCCCACAAAATGTAAAATAACCCTTTCCAGATTGTTAAGGCAAACATCGTTATGCCTAATACTATTTCCAAACCCTGTAAAATATAAAACAAGATGGTGAACATTTCCTCATTACCCCAAAATTAATATTAGCAGAAAAAAATCTTGAAGTGGGACAGTTCGCTTTACCCTGACGACCTGTGGTCTGATCTGCAGGAATTTAGACACCACATACTGGTTAAATGGAGATGCTGGCAGCTGAAGAGAGCTGGTCACATGATCATGTTTAGACATCTTTAGATGCACTGAGAGAAATATGTGTTTGGATTGGGATGGAAATTTAGTTCGATTTCATTTACTTAACAAGTACTTTACAAATAGGCCTATACATTTTTATTTTTTAATCTTTCAGCCCTTAATAACATGCTTTTCTCTTTACTGTCAGCCACAGAGAAATCAAACACAAAAGAAACCAACTGTCACTGTTTACACTGGAGCTGAAAATCTGGATTTACTTGATTTATGTTGCTCAGGTCCTACATGGAAAGCTCTCTCTCTATATATATATATTTAATTGTAATAGGGGGACAAGCGACACTACTGTTTTCTAATACAAAGCTTGGAAAGATCATGTTTGTTTGATCTGCCAGTCACAATGCATAAGATCTAAAGGGCTAAACCAGTGGTCACCAACCTTTTTAGGCCCAAGATCCCTGACCTCGGCCTATGGGGAAGTCGTGGCCTAATGGTTAGAGAGTCGGTCTCGTAACCCAAAGGTTGTGGGTTTGAGTCTCGTACCGGCAGGGATTGTGGGTGGGGGGAGTGAATGTACAGCGCTCCCTCCCACCTTCAATACCAATTCAACTGCTCCCCGGGTGCCGCAGCAAAAAAATGGCTGCCCACTGCTCCGTGTGTGTGTTCACTGCTGTGTGTGTGCACTTTGGATGGGATAAATGCAGAGCACTAATT